GGGTCTCCTATTTTTGAGGTTAGGGAACTGGGGATTCGGGCTTCGGGTGGTTAGGGTCTGAGGCTTGGGTTACGGCCTCGGGATTAGAGAGTTTCAGGTTGACACGGAGTGGAAAAATATCCATGGTTTAGGGTTTGGGGTTTAGAGTTTAGGCAGCGTCACCAACATCATCATCGTCATCATGACAATCGTCGTATTGGTAGGTCGGCGTAGTATGACATTCAGTTCAACATCACACCGACAGAACCGGCACATCAAGGACATGCTGCCACACACCTAGCACAAGCATAAGACAACGAAACAAATAACAGCCACCACCATAACAATGCATTCAAAACCAAACTTGGCTGAAAAGAACTCGCTCGCTCGCTCTCTCTCTTTTTCTCTCTCGCTCTCGCTCTAGAGGCGAAAAGCCGCTCGTCAGCCCTTTTCATGAGATGGATGCATGGGGAAATCGGCAAAGTTGGATTTGGAAGGGCAAAGTATGGGAAACAATTTCGGGGAAGATACGTATGTGATCGGCAATTCGAATCAGGGCTTTTCGCTGCCTTCGCTGATGTAGCTCACCCGGGGCAGACGGGGTGTTTGTGACCACTCGCCAATAGAAGATGGAAACATGATAAGTCCGGTGACGTTGGCATAGGGTGTGGCACCCCTAGACAACACTGTGGAATAATTTAGAAGGCTGCACAATAAGTTGGGGTTGTTATAGTTGGGGGAACCGAAAGCATACTGGGCGAGATCATGTGGCTGGGTTAGCAATCCAGAAAGGTGCCTCTACATCTGTACTTGCAGTCGTGACAGTCTGATGGGATGTTCAGAGGTTTCCGGTTAGAGCGACGGGGAGTGAGACGCCCGTCTCCCTCGTCGCTCCGACAATACAGGTGGGACCCTCCAGCACAAGGCGTGGTAAAGCGGCATACCAGCCGGGTTTGACAGGTCAGGCAGCAGCAATCAGATGGAATTCACCTGAAACTTGCGCTCAGGTGCAGGTGCGTAGAATCCGTCGGCACGGAGCCCAATGACAATCGAAATCCAAATGGCTTTCTTGCAGCCCGAAGTCAAACTGACAGTCGGCATGAGGAACTCACGCTGGAATTCATTGTGGGGCATAGTGGCAATCGTGCATTCCGCAGGAAGCTGGTGCTTTGGCAACGCACGGCGATCACACTGTCCGAGTGCCGGAACCTTGCCACGAGCACGACACCCGACAAGAACTTGCAATCACCATGCATGCACCTGTTGACAATCGCATGGTGATATCAATGCAGTGGAGGTGAAGAAGAAAACGAAATGGCACCAGTAAGCACCACACAAAGGAAGATGTGTACATGCACATAATCAGGGCTGTTTCAACAATGCATGTATCGCATACCGCAGTGCATCGCTAACCGAACCGTTTGTACCACTAATTACGTGGCCACGTATCTAACCGATCGAACCGTCCGCACTGCAGCATATCGCCTCCCACCTCTCCGGGGAGAAGGGAGGTGAGGGAGCGGGAGGAACAAGCCGCAAGTGCCGCAATAAGCGCAATACCAGACCGCACACTATCGCAGAAGTATTGGTAACGATCGAACCAACCGATGACAACCCTGAAATTTCTAGAGAACGCGATAAGAGCACTGCCAGAACTGGATGAGGCTCAACCGAATGCAACTCCGACTCGTGACAAAATCAAGAGAACGGGTACACCCAGCAAAACCGACTGCCACAACAGTTGCCAAAAGTGTTCCCGGAAGTCTCCGGGACCCTGAACCCTCATACCCCGCTAAACCGCACACCCCAGACCCGTCAACCCTAGGCCGTCCTCCATCGAAATTCCGAAAACCTTGATATAGGGTCCGTACTACTTAGACAGAGTTTTGGGGTGTGCAGAATATATTTATGTAGGCACTATTGGGGGATGTTACGACCATTACGCCTTAACGCATCTACCCTAAACTTTGCACCATCCTCACACCGAAAACCCAGCTTTTCTCGACCTCCCCCGCAGAGTCAGCCATGCCGCAGCCAAGATGGCACTATAGGGCTTCAGGGTTTAGGATTTAGGGTTCAGGGGTTTGGGGCTTAGGATTGAGGTTTGGGATTTACGGGGCTCTGGAGGCTTGGGGCTTCAGGACCTGAAAAGAGGTGATGAGAGTCTGGGTAGGTGCGGGATTGAGGGTTTAGGTTTGGGCGCTTGGTGCTGTAGCTTTAGGATTTAAAGATCAGGGCTTTGGCTAGGGTCAATGGTTCAGGGCTGAGGGTTCGGGGCCCCCAGATTTGTGGTTGTTGATCGCGCAGCAAGCTGAAAGCAGGGAAATTCCGGTCATCGAGGTGACTTTCAAGGTTGGGTTTCAGAGGCTTGCCCTGTGCCTTGAACCCTAAATTTCTGCTACTGAAAGAGGCATAGCGGCTGTGGAGTGGCTCGAGTTTGTCTCCCTCGGTACGGGAGATTCAGCTCTTTGTCCAAACTAGCTTCTCCCTGTGCTACCGTTGCAGGCTAGCCATGCCATAATGAGGAAGTCTGTCAAAAGAGGCGGCTACACATTTCATGAACTACGGGTCCAACTCGCATAACCGTGTTGCATTCGCTTACGCCGTGTGGGAGTCGAACATGTTCAAGGTTCCATTCCTCGACGTCAGATCCGAAATAAATCTGATAGCCGCAACCGTCAAAAGCCAAAACTCAGAACCGCACCAAGTCGACTCTCCTCGAAACGGTCGGCCTTGTTAACATCATGTTCTGCATCTCTTGATGCAACCTTCTACCTGAGAGGTTCTTGTTTAGGCTTCCAGGCTTCCAAACACAACGCCAAGTCCCTAAACCCTAAACCCTAAACCCTAAACCCTAAGAACCTTATAAACCCTAAAGTCGTAAAGGTCCATAGAGCGAAAAATGCGCGAGCCATTTCCTGATCTGAACACAACTCCAGGCTTCCCCGAAACAGAAGCTCGCAGAAGTACTCTCCATTACTTTGTGCACCCAGGTGCGGTATATATCGACATAGCCTGTACATGTATATATATATATATAGATAGGTAGATAGGTAGATAGATAGATAGATAGATAGGTAGATAGATAGATAGATAGATAGATAGTTAACAAATCTACGTGTCTAGTTCGTTAGTCGTTAATGTCCTTATTTGCTCCTAGGCCTTCTGAAGGGTCTAGGGTTTTGGGTTTAGGGCAAAGGCTGCATGGGCTTGTGACCCCTAAACCCTAAACCCTAAACCCTAAACCCTAAACCCTAAACCAAAGGGGCTAGGGACTTTAGCGGGCCGGGTTTAATGTAGGGGCCTTAATAGTTGGAATAGGGTTTTGGGGCATATCATACCATAATGATAATAAGGAACCCCCAAAATTGTATAGGTAAAAAGGTACTTATTAAGGCCCCTATCTTAGGCACTCACTGCCGAAGATCGCACACAGCTTCTCTCTCCTTGCGTCTTGAACTGATCCAGGAATCCAGGGTAGAAAGGCTGAAACTCCGCGATGAAAACTTCCCCAGTCAGCAGCAATACGAGGTTTGGGAGGTATGATATACCGTAACTACATAGGCTACGAGGGGATACTATTAACGATATATAGGCCCCTCGACTAGGCCGTCTGTGTAACATAGGTTGCAAAAGTCATGCATCCACCATGTGATCAGAATGATGACCGGGGGTGGCCTTTCCTTGTTTCTTTGTCACCGGCCCCCTGGCTTTTGCTAGCGGCAGGGGGCCACGTGCATCGCGGTTTAAACGGCCCATTCAGCAGCTTCTTTGCTGGCTGCCCTTTCTTAAGCCTTTGGCATTTTCAGCGCTTCAGACTCATCTTGAGGCTGACTGTCCTGGTCTATGCAGAACCGATCATCATGAACACAGGCACCACGATCCACAGCGATATCTGATGAACCTAAACAGAGCAAAATGTAGTAGCAACAAAAGAATACCACATGAGTATCGTGTGCACACTGCAAGTTATGACCCTTGATAAGATGTGTGCTCGGTACCAGGACGGCTGTGACTTGGAGCCATGACAGCTGAGGATCATCTCAGCGAAACAGCACTTCCCAGCAGGAGAAGCTGGTTGTCAGACATGCATAGCAGCAAGACGCGTAAGAGAAGGGAGAACATGGATTGGGGGGCTTGTAGTACACATAATGCAAGGACCTATAACTTGTAAGGGGATATTACTGCCAGGTCTTCCGACTATAGCTTACTGTACTTCTTCGAGCAAGGTGGTTAACACGGTGTGACTTCGCGAAGCTCACTGTGATCTTTCTCAGACCTACCCTTGAAGCAACAAGGCATATCTGCATCCGCATATGGCACACAGGGCAGCATGTCTAGACGCGTGCTGGCAACACTAGCATCAGCAGGCACGGCAGCGGTCTCCCACGCCAGAAACACCGGGAAGGAGGCTTGGGGAGTAACATCCCTCGGCTGCTTTTGGGCGCCGACTCTATCGGTAGCGACTTTCCCAGTTTCAGCCCCGGAGCCCGCTGCCCAAAAAGAGAAGTCACCATAACAGGCGCCTTTTGTGGAAACTGATATGTACAGCGCCTTCAAGCTTCGTTTTTGTCAACGGTTCATGGTCACCCCCAGGCATTTGTTTAAAAAGGACCAGAAAGCCGAGCAAGGGAGAGGGCTCAAAGGCGCCGATTTCAACGTGGAGGCTCAGAGTCTGAACTCACCAAAGTCCGCAGCGAGACCTGGGCCACCAGGGTTTAGGGTTTAGGGTTTAGGGTTTAGGGTGTCAGGTTCAGTAGTGCAAGCCTTGAAACCCCTAAACCACGTTTCTCAGCCGAGGCTCTTGTGATTCTGGTGCCATCAGCTCATCGAATACGATAGCGAAAATAGGTTTAGAGCTTACTCTAACCCTAGATGATCTATCTTTTTAACGACTTATATAAGGAAATCATATTGAGGAACCCTAAAAGGGTAGGTTTCTTAGGGTTCAAGAAGGGTTTAGGCGGGCGCCAGCTGAGCTTTGGATCCTTGCCGAGCTTCCGACGCGAGGTAAATCAGGATTATGCGTCTCCTGCAGCACCACCGGCATTCCGTTCCTGAACATGAAGCAAACAGGCAAAATGGGCAACAGAAGTGGTGGTGGTAGAAGTAGTAGTAGTAGCGGTAGTAGTAGTAGTGGTAGTAGTAGTAGTAGTAGTAGTAGTAGTAGTAGTAGTAGTGATAGTAGTGCTAGTACTAGTAGTACTGTAGTAGTAGTAGTAGTAGTAGTAGTAGTGGTAGTAGTAGCAGTTGTTGTAGTTTTTAGTAGGTGGTAGTAGTAGTGGTGTAGTAGTGGTAGTAGCAGTAGTAGTAGTAGTAGTAGTAGTAGTAGTAGTCGTAGTCGTAGTAGTAGTCGTCGTAGTAGTCGTCGTAGTAGTCGTCGTCGGTCGTCGTCGGTCGT